CTCTGAGGAGCAAAGACACGACACTGACGGGGAAATAAAACAAAAACAAAAACACAAACCCAACATCTCCACGATAGTTCCGCCAGCGAGTGTAATTTCCTTCAACGGAGTATGCAGGGTGATCGGTATCGAGTTGCAACAAAAATCCACAACAAAGAAAATAAAGGGACATTAGCAATCTTCGACAGAGAAAGCTTAATTATTCTCATAAATTTGTACGAATAAGACTAAACTATCACCTGATAGATTGATGAAACCTTCTTCAATTACTTTCATACCATATGAGCACCTGAAAATGACCAACCAACAATGCACGACTATGGTGCTAGAAATCTCTCTCTAAAGAGATAAAAGTCTACCGATGAGACATAATCGGGATTACCGAATATACAACACCAATAATGTGATGTTTTGAGGTCGGGTAGTTTGTTCGTTAAGTATATGACACTCACCACTTGAATGACATATAAGATGTCAGGTCATGTGTTCATCGACATATTTGCTTTGCCGAATAAGAATGCCCTCAGTTGACCTTTCATTTTCGATACCAAGAAAGTAAGAAAGTAGACATAGTTTTTTCAACTAAAAAGCAGTATGGAACCCGTTTGTGAGCCATTGAATTCTCTCATTGTAATCCTAAATAACATAATATCATTCAGATACATAAACAAAACCACCATACAACTAGAGTGAATTGTAACGGTGATTGAGCGCTCAAACTTTTGAACTTAATTTGTACAAAACGGTCACCAAAAGTCTAATTTGCTTTGACACGGTAACAAAAGTTTGAACTGGTATGAAATGGTCACACTGTTTAATTTGTGACCTTTTTGTTAGAAGTAAAAAAGTTATGTTATCAAATGGTTACAAATTAAAGGTTTGTGACTGTTTTGTACTAAGTGCAAAGGTTTGTGACCATTTATGCTAATTACCCTGGGGTAAACGAAGAAGAACTGGGTTTGGTCGTCAGCATTAGGGTTTTCGGTTGGGTTATCATTTCAATTGGGGTTGATCATTACTATTTTTATTAATATCTTAAATGACGTGTCGTGCTGATTTGTCGAAATTAAGGGTTTTTTGGGAGCATATCCGGTGAGTAACCTTGTGGTGAGTAACTCCATGCATAACCCAATAAGAATCTGCCACATCAATGCCTTCTTCTCCCTGGAAAAATTATTAATTTTCTTTCCCTTAATCTTTAACGGATGATTTCTCACTCGTTTTAACTCGAAATTTAAATTTTTTTGCACAGTTAGATCAGATTAATTGTGCTCTTCAAAATGATATCCACTTTGATAATTTTTGGAACAAAAAAATTTGTCAGTTATTACCAGTCAATACCATATGGTATTAAATAACAGCATACCAGTCAATACCATATGCTGTTATTTAATACCAGTCAATACCATATGGTATTAAATAACAACATATCATATGGTATGAAAAATACAACCTCATACCAGGGTGGTATAGTATGGTATGGAGTTGGTAACGAGAGGGATGAAAAAAAATTCTCAAAAAATATTGAAAATGGATATCATTTTGTAGAGCACAAAGAACTCGTTCCATCTGTGCTAAAAAAATTGAAATCCGAGTTAGAATGAAGAAGATATGATCCAATTAAGAAAACTAGGGAAAATAAATTCTTTTAATTCTCCACCCTTAGATCTGCAGTCACTTAAAAGAAGGATCCAGATTTGGTTACTCATTGTTACTCACCCTAAGGTTACTCACCCTATCTTGAGCCATTTTTTTGGATGGAGATGGATGGCTTGGGACACGGTCAGTAACCATTGGTTACTAACTTATGAGTAACTAAATCTGGACCTTTAGATCTAAGTGGGCTTAGTAAATCTAGATCTAAGGGTGGTGAATTAAAAGCATTTTATTTTCCATAGTTTATTAATCGGCTCTTATCTTCTTCATTCTAACCCAGATTTGATTTTCTTTTGCACAAATGGAACGAGTTCGTTGTGCTCTACAAAATGAGATCAATTTTCAATATATTTCGAGAATTTTTTTTCATACCTCCCGTTACCAACTACATACAATATGGTAACTTCTTCGTTTTTAAGTCGTTGTTGAAAACATTTTCTCAGAAGGAACGAGTTCATCATGATCTATTGGATCTAAAAATTTATGGGTGAAAAAAATACATGTCAAAAAATTACCATACTTTACCACTGTGGTATTTGGGTGGTAACTTGTGGTAACTTGTAGTAAACAATGATGAAAGCTGTAAATGACAACTAGTATACTCAGTGGCGGACTCATAAATTTTACATAGGGGTGTCCTTTTTAAAAAATAAATTAAATAAATAATAAAAATTATTAAATAAGAAAATTCATGACTCGTACAAGCCAAAGAAAAGTCTACGATGTGTTTTCATATTCGAAAATAATTGTAGAATAGACTTGGTGCTACACTGCTCAATAAAATGGTCTCTTATATCCTTCTAGACAATCATTCACGAATTGATCCCATATTCGATTTCTAAACTCGTTCTTGATGTAACCCAAAGCTAAAAATGACTCTTTCAACACTTGCCGTATAACCAAAAAATCAATGCAAATTAAGTGTAGCTTGAAATTTATTTAATTGTTAGGTTTTGAAAATAATTAGAGATAGAGAATGACATTTTACTATTACATATTTAAAATCAAACAATAATGAGTTGTAGCCTAATGAAAATTATATTTATTAATAATAATAGTGTCCTAAGTTTGAATTATCCAAAATATCACTCTTATATCCTTCTAGACAATCATTCATGAATTGATCCCATATTCGATTTCTAAACTCGTTCTTGATGTTACCCAAAGCTAAAAATGACTCTTTCAACACTTGCCGTATAACCAAAAAATCAATGCAAATTAAGTGTAGCTTGAAATTTATTTAATTGTTAGGTTTTGAAAATAATTAGAGATAGAGAATGACATTTTACTATTACATATTTAAAATCAAACAATAATGAGTTGTATCCTAATGAAAATTATATTTATTAATAATAATAGTGTCCTAAGTTTGAATTATCCAAAATATCACTTCTATTCCTATAAGCAAACTAGAAAATGAGAGTAGTATAATCATTTTTTAAACTTTCAGGGGTGTTCTCCACTGTCAATTATAATTTTTTTATCCGTACGTAAATTACCATCGAGAATTGAATTATCATTTTCTCAAAATTTAGAGGTGTCCCGAGACACCCCCAAAGTGCCCTGGGTCCGCCCCTGAGTATGCTCCTACTATCATGTATTCAACCTTCCTACCATATTGCTATGTTCATACCATCATGGTACGCTTTCTTACCATATGGTATATATGCTCATATTTAATACCATAGTGGATATCATTTTAAAGGGCACATTTAATCTGATTTATCTGTGCAAAAAAGTTAAATTTCGACTTAAAACGAGAGGGAAATCGTCCGTTAAAGATTAAAGGGGAAAAGATAAAAGCCTTTCCAGGAGAGAGAGGGATGTTGATATCATGCTGATGTGGACGAGTTACTCATGGTTACTCACCATAAGGTTACTTACCTGATCCTCTCCCGAGATGGACGGAATTACATTTTTGTTATTAGTCCAAATATATGTTACTGAATCATGCAAAATTAAAGGTTTGTGACCATTTTGTACAAAGTGAAAAGTTTTGTGACCATTTATGATAATTAGCTGAGGAAAATAGGCGGTTGAAGCAAATTTAAAAAAGTAAAACTACTTCTGCAGAAAGGGCAATGACGGGATCTTCTCAGATATTTTTTCTATAAAAAAATATTTGAAAAGAAAAAAAAACCAAATTAGGGCTCGGTCAATCCCTTTCCCTTCGTCCTGTTGAACTCATCGGTAAGATAGTTGTCCTAATATTAAATGTACGTAAGAATTAACATCATTACTAACTAATAAATTGTTTAATCAATATATTTGTACCAAGCCATTAGCATAAATCATTCCATTGGAGTTTATTTATTCTCAGTTTTAAATCATGCTTATTTATATAAATTAGAGCTCCCTGCAGTTTATGCTAAGTGTGAATCATGCTAGAATGTCAGCACATCAATTCGACATAGACTAGGGGAAACACATCCTAATGAAGTTTTCTCAATTGAATTCAGCAATTGAATTCAATCTCAATTTACTTGCATGCTTGTTTAGTTTCGTAGTTAAAAAAAATAATTTTATTGCTAGATAACAAATAGGTCATTGAAGTAAGGGTAGATATACCGTCTGGGTTGATATTTCGAAATACTTGCTCCGTACTACACCCTATTGAATGTTGCACTTGGCCTTTGATTGTGATATGTGTAGTTAGGTACGAGTCAAAATTATATCAAATCTCATCTACATATGTATAATAACATATCATTATACCAATATAACAATCGGTAATTGGATTCAACATATAGTGAAAATTCAAACACACTCATATAACATCAATATTAAAATGATCAATTTTGAATTATCAAAGGTAGGGTTAGACAAATGAGAAACGGAAAAAGAGTCACAATTCGCAAACCAAAGAAAAAACGAGGTCATGTAACTTTCAGCCCACAATCATTCTTGCCGATCCGTTCGGATATGTGCGGCTTGTTTTCCTCATCAGGGCAGGGTCAAACTGTGGGTTAACATTAAAAGTCAAAATTTAGTGATTGATTTGATAGTATCCAAAGTAAGTTGACCATTTTTGTAATTACCCCCCTAAAGATTTTATTAGGCTAAATTGCAAGTTTGGTCACTAGAATTACTCAAAAATTTCACGTTTGCCACTGAAATTAATTTATTCCATCCGTAGTCACTTAAATTGAGTTAATAGTTCAAGTTTGGTCACTGGCCGTTAGTCTCCGTTAACTTTTGCTGATGTGGCGGTCAATTCTTATAGTTGACCGTTAAATGAGTGACGTGGCAATTAAAATAATAATAAAAAATAAAATTTAATTATTTTTTATTTTCCACCTAATTATTTTAAAAAATAAAAAAAGAAAATCCTAAATAGCATTAGCTTACTCGTGATTAGAGAACTCGGAGAGCTTCCCGCGCCGGGAGAAGACGATGACTGCAACCTCGCCGTCGCAGGATACGGACATCACGTGAGCTTTCTTGAGCAGCCCATACTTGGGCTTCGAGAACGTCACCTGCCTACTCGCTGCGTTCTCCATCTTCCTCAGCTCCACCTTCCCCCTCACCATCTTTGACCAACTTAGGCACTATAAAAAGATTTGCTTCAAGTCAACCAAGAAAGAAGGAAGGAAAGAACACTAAAAATCAGATGAGTATAAACAACAATCCTCCACGCATCTCACCTCGCAGAGTGAAAAAGGTGCGATATTTCTTGGCCGCAGCAAAGGAGGAGAGCCAATGGAGGCTTCCACACGGCTGGTTTGAGATCTATCAATATATTGTCTTTTGCACGAATTAATTAACTGATGGCAGATAACCGAATTGGAAAACCCTAAAGATAGAGAGACTGAGAAGGAAGAAATTGGGGTTGTGGAAGGTGGATGGATCTTGTTTTGGTCTGCGGCCACAAGGAAGGAATTGAATGGATGGTGGAGAATATGACTTATGGGATGGAAATGGAAGTGGAGACGGCATTTGTTTGTTTAAGAGTTTCCCCTTTTGCCCCATTGTACGTATTCATCTATCTATCTACCTAGTAGTAGTACCTACCTCAGCTCCACAGCTCAATCTCATCCCCTCTTACCAGGCTCAACCATTTCTACTCTATCTTCCTCAACAACAATCTCCAGGCCCTGGTCACAGCGTAGACCTTGCTTGTGGCCGTGTACCATTTTGACAACGATTTCGAAATCTGGGTCCAAGAAAAACCTCCTCCCCCACAACCGCTGCCGCCGCAGCACTCCAGGCATCATCGCATTGACGAAACTACGTTCTTCTCGAGGTCGCCGTGACGGCACCACTAACATCACAAACTTGTTGTGGGCCACCCCATCGGCCATCGCTTCTTCCCCGATCTGGACCGCACGCCTTCCTTCGATCATCGCGGCGGCGAACTCGGCCGCCTCGTTCGCAAACATAGGGACCAGCCGCAGCGTGAGCTCCAGCGACGGCTGGTTGGTCCTCCTTCGGCCCCGTCGGCAACAACGTTTACCTTCTCAACCCGGTGACTGAAGAGAAGTTAGCGGCAAGTTAGGTTTTTTTTTTAATTTTTAAAATAATTAGGTGGAAAATATGAAATAATTAAATTTTATTTTTTATTATTTTTTTAATTGCCACGTCACTCATTTAATGGTCAACTATAAGAGTTGACCGCCACATCAGCAAAAGTTAACGGAGATTAACGGCCAGTGACCAAACTTGAACTGTTAACTTAATTTAACTGACTACAGATGGAATAAATTAATTTAAGTGGTTTTTTAGTAATTCTAGTAACCGAACTTGCAATTTAGCCGATTTTATTACTAGTGCCGCCGAGTACTTTTCCCGCAGCGTATCCCACTGACCCACCAGAACCCCAACTCTACCGCCGGCAGCAAAAGATGGAATCAATCGGTGTTCTCCTGATGTGTCCAATGTACAGCTACCTTGAACAAGAGCTGCAATCTCGCTTCAATCTCTTCAAACTCTGGCAGCAACCACCCTCCAAAATTCCCGAATTCCTGAAATCCAACCAGAGAACCATAAAAGCAGTGGTCAGCAATGCGAGAGTCGGCGCCGATGCTCAACTGATTGATTCATTGCCCAATTTGGAAATTGTGGCCAGTTTCAGCGTAGGGTTTGATAAGATTGATCTCAAGAGGTGCGAGGAGAAGGGAATTAGGGTTACAAACACACCCGATGTGCTCACTGACGATGTCGCTGATTTGGGTATCGCCTTGATTCTTGCGGTTCTCAGAAAGATATGCCCTTGTGATGGGTTTGTAAGGAGTGGTAAATGGAAAGACGGCGACTTTGGTCTGTCAACCAAGGTTTGTTTAATATTTGTCAAGATTTGGGGATTGGGGGTTTCTTCTAAGCTCTGGTTTTTAATTTTTTTTATCGCATTGGTTTGCTCAAGTGGCTTGTTTCTTGGTTTCTGTATCGGAATGAATGGTTATCTTGTTCTTGACAGGGATAGGATTGAGATATGATTGTGCAAATTGTTATTATCTATAGATTTAGTTTGTCATTAGAAATGTAATTAGTTTAGAACAGTTCATAGTCAATAATTATGCGTTATCTTGAAAGAATATCTTCTTCTGTTTCTTTATTCGAGGATTATGGATCACTGGTTTAGTTACATGAATGTAGACTTTGGGAGTCCCTACCATGAATCATTGACTTAACAGCGGATAAGATTATAGCTTTGTTTTGTCAACCTCCCTATGAAAGAATAGGCATAGCAAAGAGCCAAGAGCATTTGAAGTTGAGATATTTTCCAACTGAGCAACATTTGAACTGTATTGATCTTGAAGCAAATGCCATCCTATGTTCCTATTGCTAGAGCTTGATCTAGCAGGCATTGTAACCTTTCCTTGTTTCCTTCTTCAGTTCAGCAGTAAACCGGTTGGAATAGTTGGCCTAGGGCGAATCGGATCAGCAATAGCCAAGAGAGCTCAAGCATTCGGCTGCTCCATCAGCTACCACTCCAGAACCCAGAAGCCATTGAAGCACTACAAATACTACGACAACATCGTAGACTTGGCCAAAAACTGCTCGATCCTCGTCGTAGCATGCTCTTTGACAGACGAGACACGCCACATTGTCAATCGGGAGGTTATCGATGCACTAGGGCCACGAGGCATCTTGATCAATGTAGGTCGAGGGGCCCATGTGGATGAGCCTGAGCTCGTCTCAGCATTACTAGAAGGTCGACTTGCTGGTGCTGGGCTCGATGTGTATGAAGATGAACCCGAGGTACCTGACCCACTGTTGCGGCTTGACAATGTTTTGCTCCTCCCTCATGTGGGGAGTGATACTGTGGAGACTTGCAATTCCATGGCTGACCTTGTGCTTGCTAACTTGGAGGCACATTTCAACAGCAGACCACTTCCCACCCCAGTTATATGACCACCTGGGGTAAGTTTTGAACTCAGGATTCTCATTAAGCTTGATGGATATTTATATTACTTTATAATTTATTAGATGAAAACGGAAATTGACAGCTGGGTTTCTAGTAGAATGTACAAAGAGAAAAAGGAGCATTATGATTTCAAACAAGCTCCTTCCAAAAGGTTCCATGGTGAAGACTCATTTTCTCAGACGTAGGAAATTCCAAAAAGAACCCATGTGCGCATGACGTGGGTTGTTTCCTTCCCTATCTTCTTCTTCTTCTCCTTCTTCTCCATTGATTTGATTAGACATCCTCGTCAGGAAGAAGAAGCTCCTTTGAAGATAAGGAACTTCAGAGTCTCCAATGTGAAGTATATGAAAGTGCCTTTAGAGTGAGTGAAGAAGCAGCCAAAGTTTGAACCAACCACACATTGCCATCCACCTCCATATCTCTTGTCAAACTCCTGCGGCTCGACCACACAAACCACACAAATGAGAGAAGGGGAATACAAAGTTGCATCTTGCATGTGACCATAAACAGAGCAAAAACTTCCAATCTTTTAAAGAACGAAGCTAGAAATATCATGCTTCAAGGATTGAGATTTTATGACCTGCCTACTTATGATATCAGTTTCTGTTTTACTTGCAGAAAAACTGGCAATGAAAGGAAGCCGAAATTGGTTACCTTCTTGATGTGGCCGGCGATGGATCTGCTGTCGACCACGTCATAAAGATCCAGAGCTTCAGAAGCGCAAGCCATGGCTTCCATCTGCATCTTCACTGGCATGTCTGTATCATCAACGAGTGCTTTTCCTTCCAACATCTTTGAAAATGAAAGTGGGAAATGGAGAGTGAAAGAAAGAGAGGGAGAGGGAGAGAGAAAGAGACCCCAGTTGAGGAAATGCAGAGTAGGAGAGTTTTCGTTTGAGGGCTTCTTATCCAAAGAAACCCCCCTTGGCCCCTTGTGATTGTGAGACTGGGAAAGGGTTATAAAAATGGAAAGGTTTTGCGAGGGAGAATCCCTCTGATATATATCTGTGTCTCTCTCTGAGATTTACATGTCAAGCTTCAAGAGAGCCAATGTGGTTGCAACACCAGGCCTTATAAATCAAACCCCAAGTGCCCTTTCCTAGTTTCCTTCCTATCTCTATTTCTCTTGCTAGGGTCTTTTCCAAATCCACTGGAATCATACACCCTGACAATATCTTTTTGTCTTTATTTCTATCTCAATAGAGTATTTCCAGGAAGGAGGAGGCACAAAATCCCAAGATTTCTTGTCACTTTCTTTCCTCACTTTTTGGGGGGGAGGCTTTGCCTTAAACAACCAGGAGGTGATTGGTTATTCAATTGGTAAATAGCAACGGGGAGTTGATTGAAGTAGTTATTTTGTTAGCTTTGATATCAAGTTTAGGGGTTTAATGGTTTATCTTGTTCTTTTTGAACTTTTTGTTTGTTTGTTTGTTAATGGTTTGTGGTTGGTCTCCAATTTCATTCGAGGATACAGATGAGAGAATGATGAAATTCGTGGGGGATAATGAATGGTGAGGATGGAATCAGTTTTCTCCCAAAAAAAAAAAAAGAGGATGGAATTGGAATTAGAAGACGAAGATGAGGAATTTTACAATACTATATAGCATTGGTGCTATAGGTTTTTGCCTTTACGGTACAATTTGAAGTTGTACCTTTAACGTTATGGTACAACTTTAGATTGTACCTATACTTTTTGTACAAATTCTTTTATGGTACAACTTGAACTTGTATTTTTATGTTGTAAAGTTGTACCATAATATAATGGTACAAATTCCTTTATGGTACAACCTAAACTTATACATTTAATGTTATGGTACAACTTCAAGTTGTACATTAAAGCACCAATACTATATAGCATGGTAGAAGTGCTCGACGAAGATTAGTATTTAAGATTTTAGTCATTAATATATTAATATATCTAAATCTAAATCACTTTTACTGTTCACTAACGAGGGTGATAATGTTAAACCTATGGGCCGATTAATTGGGCTCGTGATTTTGTTTGTTAGGCTTCTCATGTGAAGTTACTTTGGGTCTATTGGCCTATTCTCTTGGGCTCCTGATTTTTGTTTGTTGAGCATTTGATATCATTAAACCATTTCTGAATTTAAGAATCACTGCTAATGGATCAATGGAAATCGTCTAATTGGTAATGTAATAATAAAAAGGAAATTGTCTATGGTAATCTTTTTTTTTTCTTCTTTCATAATGCTACCAAACCAAAAGGAATGGCGATGGGTCAAAAGGGTGGATATCTCGGTATCAATATCCATTTTGTGGCGCCACAACCACACCCATCAAGCGGTTAGCGACGTTAGTCAAGAGTCTCGTCGATGTGTCACCTCCATAGTCATGGTTGATCCTTTGCTCATTGCTAGGATCACTCTCAGGACCTTGTTGTTGGTGCCCATTGCGTCTCGGATGTGTGAGGAGATCTGAACCATTTGGCAAGTTAGTTCTTTATGCCTGTTCACTAGGGCCTTCAACAACGCTTGAGGAACTTTAGCCATAATGAGATCCTTGACCTCCACGACGTCCTGCAGTTTATGTCTGGTACTCGAATCCATATGTTATTATGTAGAAACCTGACGTCGGTGAACCACTGATACCACTGTCTGTAAGAACTAGGATCTAGGCGTCAACAACTAGGGGTTCCAAGATTTGAGAATAGAAGGAGGATTGGAAATTGAAGAGGATTGAGAGGTGGTGATTGAGGAAGAAGAGGAACTCTGCTCAAAGGGGAGGGGAAACTGACATTAGAGAGAGAGAGAGGGAGGGAAAATTCAGTTAGGGTAAGAGGAGAGAGAGATTAGGTTTATGAATTTTTTTATTGTAATGGCTTAATGAGTAATATCACTAATTAGTAATTACAAAATACATATAATCCAATAAATTCTTTTTTATTTACCCAACTGATATTCCTAACAAAATATCTCCAATTGTTCCCAAAAGTCGCAAATAATCACTAATTATCGCAAAGCATAAATAAACGACAAATAGTTGCTTTGAACTATAAAGCATCTTTATAAGTGATGCAAGCAACAACAAAAAAGTTGGCATTACTATAAATTTCTCACTAACTTTGTAAAACTTATAATTTTCTGTCAAGTTGTTGGTGAGAAAAGATTCAATTGAATTATTGAATTAACCAAAACAATGGAGGAGCTAGGTTGAAGGCAGAAGAGGCTATAGCCCCCACCCCACCCCTGCACTTAAATTCGAAATATTGGTAAAATTACATGCAAAATTAGACATGAATTTAGTAAATAGAGTAACTAGTAAGGCCTTAGCCCCACTTAATTGTCACAGTTCTAGTCAGCCCCCTCTTTTAAATTCCTAACTCCGTCACTGCCAACAAACTGCTTCATTTGGCAGGCCTTGGAGGTACAAAACCTAAACTATGCTTATTTTTACCTTGTGTTCCCGCGTTTCCCATTCAAGATCTTATAGTTAAAGTTTAAAATTTTAAAAATCACATTCTTTTTTTTCCCGTTGAATCAGTTGCTTTTATTCCAAGAAGAACCGATACAATGAGTCGAGAAAAGAATCTCACGCAGAACAACAACTCCAACTTCTAATAGTAACTATGCATACTAGTTAACTACCAAAACAGAAAAGCCTTTCTATAGGTACCCTAGTTCAACTAATGTATCCCTGACTCCTCTATTTCCATAAGCAATAAACTGCAGATCAGCTCGAACCAAGTCTGCAACCTGAGCAGGGGGACGACACTGAGCTCCATGAATCACTCCACAACGTTCCTTCCATATAAAAGTCAATAGCAAACACCAAAGCAGGCCATGCCATTCTCTTGTTCTAGTACTCCCAACCTGTGTCATTGCACTTACCATCGTCTCCCAGTCTGGTTGCAGTAGGACTAAGGGCTAGATTCATTATTTTAATCTTGTAAACTAAATGTTCCTAACTATACTCACCTTCAACGTAACTATTACTTTCATATTAACAAAAAAAATCATATTTTTCTTTTAATGATATTTATTCACACCTTGAAATTCGAACAAATTATAAGTGATGTTAAAATTTCCAGTCTGCAAATATCTCGAAAACCCTCACTATTACACACAAAAAAACAAACACATTCTTTTTTAATTTTTAATTATATCTTAATCCTCATTTATAATTCTTAACTCCTACAAAATTCATTCTTTTTCCCTCCTATCTCCCTTCCTCTTTTTTCGAGGTGGGTAGGAATGGCGGATGTCGAGGGAACCCCGCCATGATGCTCAACTTCCACTAACTAGACTCGCACCACCAACTGTTTACCCGGCCATCACAATAAGTCAAGCACTCCAAGCTTTCCGAATGTCTATTCATGTCAGGACATGGTATAAATCACTATCTACTCCACTTGAGGGAGATTACTGGATTGTTACAAACTATAGTATCATTTAGTGTCTTCCAATATCTTATAATTAACTAAAGTATTTTAGTGTCTTCCAATATCTTATAATTAGAGAAAAAACTTATGATCCAAGAGGATAAAATAAACTCATAAGAAAATGAGAAGATTGAAGTTCACTATACTTTACATATTACTTCATGCAAAATATGTTGGCTTCTTATTCATGTGTAGTGTATGTTAGGTCCAACTCATGCAAGATGAACACGCTTTTAATTTTCTTTGTTACTTCTGCTATTATCCATGGTTAATGTGGATAATCCAAAATTCGATTGGGTATAAACATGATTTTGACTCTACCTGATACTTGTGTGATTATCGGTATGGATAAAACCCAAACTATTATGAGTAGGATAATAGATATACACTATCTGTCCCGACCCGATTAGTTGCTATCCTTGCGATCAAGCAGCATATTGGAGCAAGTCGGTCCATTGTAGATGTAGGATGTGATTAAAAACAAAATTTATGTATTATCTTGATCTTTACATGGAAAAGAAAAATAAATAAAGGAGTTACACTATCTAATTAACAATCTACTCAATATATAATAGTGAGATGGGAAAAACACAACATCATTTCAAATTTTGTGGCCTAAGAGTGATTCTAGTAAGGTTATTTCCGTAATTGTGCTAAATTTATCTTTATATATTAAAAATATTATTATTGGAATTTGAACCTTCGTCAATTAAATGTAGCAAGACCACTACAACCAACTAGGCTACTTTGCATTTATTCCAATTTTTTTATTAAACTCTAAAAACACACTTTGTGTTATGTTTTCATATTTATATTTTACCTGAAGTTATATATATCTTATAGAAATATATTAATTATGAAATCAAAACTCAAATTGTATGTGTTATTTACTTTGTGACAAATATTGTCATTTTGTGACAAATATAAGAACTATGCTACATGAAATTTTTGTGTTTACTTGCCAATTTTCAGCATTTTTATTTTAACAAACTCAAGTGAAAAAGGGAAAAATAAAATAGAAAAATTATTTCTTAAGAAAAAATGGAAAATTAATATGGGTAAATGAATGGTCACATGACCTCTCCTTACAATCCCTTTTTAACTTTGATTTTCACTTCTTCTCCATCACTCATCGTCGATCAAAATCCAAATTTATATCGGCTCTCGTCTAGCACTACATTGAAGTTCAATAAAACATATGAAAAATCTATGTCGATGGGTAATGACGAAGACAGAATAACCTGCTCCAAACAACGTCTAAATCGACACCGATAAAACTCAAACATGAAGCAAGTTGCACGAGCACCCTTCCTTCAATACATATCAACATCTCACTAAATGATTCATTAACATCCTTCAACGAAAAAATCCTGAAATGATCTTATCCCTTCATCAGGTTTCTATTTTCATATTACAAGACTTCAATAGAACCAAGTCGTTTTCTTCTTGAGGTTGAGCTCTGCACCCCATGTTATTTTTAACGAGATTATATAAGAGAATTTCATAAGAGCTTCAAGCTAATAAATAATTGAAGGAAGAGATAAAGAGAGAGACAAAGGCGGTAACAAGAAACTAGTAGTGAACGAACCCAATCCAAATCTCAACTCCTATACAGGGTTTGAAATCTCTAGAAACTAGCTCAATTGCGAGAATGAAATAAAGGCTTTGATGTCAGTTTGATTGAGTGAATTTAAATTGGTTTTACTTGAAAAGCACCATGAATTGTTTGACTGGTTGTCTGGTTGGAAGAAAGGGAAAAAGAAAGTGACGATTAGAAGATAGGATGGCCAATTTCTCGAGCGAATCAAAACAGATAATTAAAAACATGGTTTAATTAGATTTTTTGTCAATT